TTACTACCCAAGGGATGTATATTAAGGTAATTATACGGTAGTTCAAAAGGGAAAAGTTCACTTTCACCTCCATTAAGTGAATATTCAAGCTAACACTGTTTTGAGTTTTATTTTCCCATTTCCCTTTCCAGTTCATTGTATTTTCTTCATAGTATTTGTTAGCAGTCATTTCATGGAACCTAATAGCAGTACTGAGGAATCTGAGAATTTTTTTTTCCTTCAGAAGTACTGAGAATCTTTTTAGCTCAGTGTAAATATCCAGTCAATTTACCTCCAATATAATCGCTTAAAAAATGAATTACTTTATAGTGGAGAAACTAAACAAACACTACCTCAGCCAGGTGATCAAGATCAACATCAACAATGATAGGTCATGGTAATGGTATGTACCTTTGATACCATGTGATTTAATGGCACTTTACTTCTCTGGTCTTCCTTCCAAAAACTGATAACACCTGTCTAATAATGGGAAAGACATCAGACAAGTTCCAATTGAGAGACATTTTACAAAATACCAGACCAGTACTCAATACTGTCAAGATCATTAAAAACAAAAGTTTGAGAAACTGTCACAGCTAAGAGGAGCCTAAGGAGACATGATGACTAAATGTAATGTGATATCTTGAATGGGATCCTAGAACAGAAAACGGACATTAGGTAAAAGCTAAGGGAATCTGAATAAAGTGTGGACTCCATACAACCAATCAATATTCGTTCATTAATTTTGACAAATGTCTCATGGGTATGTGGTATATGGAACCTCACTTACTATCTTTGCAATTTTTCTGTAAATCTAAAACTATTCTAAAATAAAGTATAATGAAAAATTTTGTGAACACACAACCACCTTTTACTTTATTATCATAGCAAAATTATACCACCCCAATATTAAAAAGAGTGCTTTTTACTCCATGCCAATATTAACATTTGCTAATGGCCAATCTCTTATAACTTAGTTTTAGCTCTACCCCACACATACAGTCATATGCTGCATAACAAGGTTTTGGTCATCAATGGACCACATATATGACGGTGGTCCTATAAGATTAGTACCATATACTCTAGGTGTATAGTAGGCTATACCATCTAGGTTTGTGTATGTACAATGTGATGTTTGTACAATGACAAAATTGCCTAATGATGAATTTCTCAGAACTTATCCATGTCATTAAGTGACGCATGATTGTATTTATTTGGCAAATTGATATTTATATTTTTCCTATCCTTGCGAATGTTGTTTTATTTCCTTTGGAAATAAAATTTTCGAATGATTTCTCTTATTTAAACTTTGATTTAAACCTACAATATTATACACACACACGCACACACACATCTCTATATATCTGTGTGTGTGTGCGTGTGTGTGAATGTTATTGAAAGAACCATATTGCTTGACTGTAGATTCACTGTGATGTTGGTGAGCTGAAAACAGTGATTTTTGAATCACATTAAACAAAGCAATAAGATGTTCATTTAGTCCTACATCTTAAAACAAGCTTGGTTGTATTTTTTTTGGATGAATAACTAAATCAGATTTTTAAAGTATGGTTTGAAAAAAATAGGGGGAAAGTGCATTAAAATGGCATTTAATACACACATTCCTGAAAAATGGGAATTATTATTGAGCTGGGGAACTTTGATAAAATAATAATATTATATGTAACACTTTACTCTTTCCATGTTTATTTCATTTAATTCTCATGGCCATCCTGTAAATTAAGTATTATATTCCTCATTAGAAGATGATGATGTTAAGAGAGGATAAATGATTTTCTCAAAGTCACATGAGACAGAAATGTAACTTGAAATCAAATTTACAATAAAAGCATAGTATTTGGAAACAATACTTATCAATCTGTACACTGTTGTGTGTTGCAAGGATACTATTAAGAGTGTTGCAGGGAAGATGTGAAGTAAGTTTTTTGTATCAGTTTTATTGATAAATATTTGCAGTTGTAGCAAGTGAGAAATAACTAAAATTTTTACAGATTGAATACTGTTTTCTCAGGAGAACAAACATTTTATATTGGTCAGAAATTTAAAAAGAACTGAAAACAGCACACAAATATGTGTCTGCAAAATATACTTTGAAAATTAGGGTCATAAACTGTCAGTATAAATACATAGGCAAGAAGATTTTCTGGAAATATCTTTACCATCATTCAAAACAATTTGCCAATGTATCCAGCACAAAATTTTCAAAATTCATGCTCGATGGGGTTCTATCTACAGGCATTTTAGATCTAAGAAATTTTAGGTGGCTTTCAAAAGAGTTCTTATTTTCCTATTTTCTGATTGTATTTGAAATTTCTTCCTTGTATATTTCTTCCTCAAAGCATCTAATATATTGTATTTTTTGCAAATGTAATTTGTTATAATTACAATATGACATTTTTTCAATATAAGTTAAAATTGTATAGAAAAAATAGATAAATTCAAAACTAAGAATCAGGTATTATTTTAAATCAGCTTAATGGGGTGAAAATGTATTTTTGCCCCTAATAAATAAACATTATTTACCTATTTCTATAGTCCTTTTGCAAAGCTGAACTATCAGGTAAATATATTATACACATTTCATTTTGTAAGTAAGAACCTAGGCAGCATTAAAGGAAACTAATAAACACCCCATGCACCATGACCAAATATCAGAACTGGTCATCCTATGTACATATTTTAAGATTTTTTAAAAAAAGAGACCACGTTACGGTCTTGATTTTTGCACTTCATAATGTTGATATCAAAATTATGTTTTGCTATTGTTGTTCATACCTACTGTGCGTAGAGCTGCCCTGTAACACTGTCAGGACATCTATATTACCTTTGGGTAACATAGTAACAATTATCCAGAGTGAAGAAGCAGTGTCAACCATCCATTATTAGTGTGATCTATGTACCAGATCCATTGCCGAAGAACTCTGGCTCTCCAATTTATTTATATATATTTATATATAATCTATATCCTCTACTTTTCTTTCCATTATAGACACATCTGAAGTTAGGCACTATAGAAAGCATTTGCCTCTTTCTGTGTGCATTAGTTTCTAAGGATATACAAAGATATCTTGGCAATCTAAAATGCAAAATATACCTTTTAAAGTGCTAACTTTTCCCCAGGGAGGAATTTACTCACTAGGAGAAATCAAATTCTACTAAAACAAATATTGTGCTCTTGGAATGGTAGTATAGACACCATTGAGGGCTTTTTTGTTTGTTTGTTATAGCTCTGTAATTAAAACAGAAGAAATTATATCATACTTTAAAAATTGGTAGAGTTGCAAATATACAGACATACTCTTAGATAGAAACTTTAAACATTTTGAAATTAATGTTTAATTTCCCCTCCCCTCCCCCGAAAATAGGAATTTAGCACAGAAATGCTCACATAGCATTTTTACCAACATCTGATGTGTAAATCTGCTCTAGAATCATTCTCAACACAACTTCCTAATCAGGTTTCAAAACGATATACTAACTTCAAAATCCGTACTCTACAAATGCCCAGGTTAGAGATGAGGACTCTTTATAAAGGCCCTTATCTTTTACATTTGGTAAATATTAAAGGTATTGTCAAACAGACAATTCATCTAATAGTCCAAAGTATCTTATAAAGATAACTTATGACTAGGTCACCATCATATATAGTAACAACAAGAATATAAAGTCTACATTTAAAAAGATTGATGCATGCGGTGTATCATAGTATATTACATATTTTCTAGTTACGTGCACCAATTTATTGTGCCTCAAACACAGCAACAAGTATGATATTACAACATACATGTGTATACATCATAGTAGCATAATAAACTCAATTCTAATCAAGAAAAAAATTAAATAATTCAGGTACAATATAATTTCACAATAGAAATGATGATTCTTTTATGTTTTTCTTCACTCTTTAGGAAAAAAATATGACTTTTTGTAAATATCTTCATAGCTATCTTTTTTCAACGCATTACTGAAAACTATTATTCAAATAGTAAATATCTAATTGACGTGGATAAAATAAATCTTAACACACTAGCACTTTCAGACAAAAACAGGCATTTGTTAAAAGAAATGATTATTATAAATATTTTCTATTTTGTATTTTAACTACATTTTCATAAATAAGGTATTTAAAAGTGCTGAATATGATAGGATAGTCAGCGACGCCAGTGTAAACAGAACATTTTGTTTTCTACTCTGCAAACTTTTTTTTAAAATCCCATTTTGTCAAACACTGCAACAGTTAAAATATTTGCATAGGGAATAGATAATAGCCCTTTTAATCATAACTCCTGAATTCTATATAAATTAGAAAATCAAATTCACTTAAAAAAACAATTCTTGAAATGTTTTAAGTTTATGGAAAAAGAAACTATGGTGCCAACCTTTCAAGTAAAATAAATTTTAAAAAGAAAACCCCAAACTTGTTTTTTTCTTAAAAATGTTTAATAAATTAAAAAATGAGAGGTAGTTAAAAAATGACAAAGAAAACCTATAATTTTAATATCATCCTTAATATAAGGCTAGTATTCTCAGTGGATATAAATATTTTTAAAACTTTCATTTTAGGTTACTCAACATTATATTTATTAAGTTTAATATTAAAAATACAGCCTCCGGGGGATATTAATATTTAAATGTAACACCTTGATATAAATATGACACTGACTTTTTTGTGTGTGTGTGCACAATAGATACTGTTTTCTTGAATGTCAAAAGTACATGCCAATGTCAGGCAAGTATTTTGTCTTAAAGATTTAATGATACGTATAAAAAAATAATATGGCAGCTAGAAGATTTGAGCACTGTACTGCCTTTCAATTATGGATGAAAATTAACAGTTTGGTTTCAACATTTTTAAAATAAATCATTCTTAAGATACTATGTGAAAACAGTTAAGGTCTGAAGTAGAGAATTATCTTCTTCACAACCCTTATAAAACTTTTCTTTGTTAAAAACTTAGCTTTTCATTAGATTTCACTTACAAGGAAAATATGCCACAGGAGAGATGCTATTCATCAAAATGTTTTATGATGCTACATGTAGGCATTCCTTTATTAAGTCCTTTCTTTATATTCCAAAACTAAGTTATCAAGCTTATTATTGTTTTTCTTGCTAAAGTACATACTTTACACAACTGTTTTAGAACTGGAGAGCCAGTCTTTAATAAATTAATTACAGTATTGGACATCTGATATATACATAGATTCATTTTCTTCTAGTACAATTAAAAACAATATCACTCTTTGATTTGTCATTGAGATAGAATATCTTCAAATTGTTTTGTGCTTTTTTTTCTCTTTTCTTCTTCTTCTTTTTTACATAGCAAACTCTTCTGTAATGAAAATGCCACAGTTTTGGCAGTGAACAACCAGTGGAATCCCCCGTTAGGATCTTCCAACAAACAGAGATAAATAGCTCTTTTGTCAGGTACAGAAATATTGGCTTCAAAATTAGTGTACTGAACACAGTATATAGCATGAATACCATTGTTACAATGTAAAAATTGGCTTTTTCTGTCTTAGATTATATTTAAAAATGCAAACCACAGCCAACTTTTTGGCAATTATTTCTATAAGACCATATTGCACAAAAGTCCTTAAATACAGATATAAGTTATGCCATTGGATTAAATATTACAACAATTATGTGGCAAATGAAGCAGTTTTAATTCGCACATGCAGTCTCTGGAGAGACACTAGGAGACTGTTCACACGACTACAAATACAGTTTGCTTGCAAGTAGAATGAGTGCTGAATAAAACAAACTTAATTTGGCAATTCATTGTTTTATGTGGTATTTTCTCCAAACTTAACCATGGATCAACTTGATAAAAATGGAGACAAAGACCATATGGTTGTATTTTCACAGTAGCCTGAGGAATGCTTAACTGTAGTTCTCCAGGAACTCAGTTTCTGGTGTTATTTAACTACTTTTATTTCCCATCCCAGCCCTCCAAAACGATTTTTTTTAATTAAAATTAAGATTCAGAAGTAGAGCTGGCAGTACTTTCAAGAAATGACTTATAGATTTGAGAGTTCAAAAACCTTGGAAAAGAATCTCTGTGCATTAAGGTATATATCTGAAGTTGAGCATCTTCATACATGTGAGGATTAGGATCCAAGAGATTTCTATTGATCACCTCTCTAACTCGAGAATCGAGACTGACCTAAAAAGAAATAAGAGCATATACATTAAATAATATTTTTTCAAAAGATCTCCATCAAGTAACTGTAGGTTTGTGACATTTCAGAGAAACCTCAGAGTAAATCCAACTACCTAAAATCTCGAGGTTATCTTTTCAGAGGCTACATAACCTTGCATACTTTTCTCCTTCAAAAGTTGAATTAAACAAACCAACAAAAAACAACTAGTCTTTCAAACCAGAAATTTAGTTCACAGATATCTGGGGTTAACTCGGATTTATCTTTTCTATGCATTCCTCAGGAGTTATTGACAATTTCTATTCATTGTTGTGGTACCAGAGAGTGCCCTAGGCAGAATACAAATTTACCTCCTCCTATTATGTGACTGCTGGGGTGACTCTCTTGATGGAATAAGGTAAAAATCTGGCAGAGAGGAGTTCTCTGGCAAAAATTAACAAGTTTATCAAATGCTGATTCCTGATAGTTTCATATCCCAACAAGCCCTACTGTGTTGAAAGTAGGAAACCAGGAATGTGGAAGGGCCTCGTAGAGCAGACCCACAGTGGGCATTCTTCATGTCTTATGTCTACTTGGCCAAGTACCTATATGGTACTTATATAGGAATGCATCCAAAGATCTCTGTACTAAAGATTAAGCAGAACAATTGGTTGAAGCGGAATCTTTGAAAGGAGAAATGTAAGTAGGGATTCAGAATACCCATTAAAGTAATCAATACAGTGTTATCTGAAAAGTGTACAGAAATTAATTCTGCCAATGATTCAGCTATTTTTTTCCCCTCACTAAATGCTAATCCTGTTGGAACTGGTAGGGCATGTTGGAAAGGGAAGTGAGGAAAAATAAATACCAGTAAGGGCATGCTTGAGGAAAGGAACTAAGCTCTGCCCTGAAATGATATGTTAGCAAAACCCTCTAAGAGGCAAACCATCACTGAATCTTGACTGGTTTCCTCATTCCCCACTGTTGAACAAGGACTAGGGCATTGTGATCCATAGTTATCTGTCTCAGGGTGTACTCAAGTCTATACAAACCTTTCATATTTCTATGCAAACGTTTTGTCATAAGTAATTTTGCAAAATCCTTTTTGGTTCTGGCTTCTTTTCTTACCCACTCTTTGGACTGAGCCTGGGGTCTGACACAGTCCCAATGACTGAAGCCACTCACATTCCATCTGGTGGCCCCAGATTCCTGAGCGTAATGGAACACGTGGAATTGGGTTGATTGATATGCCCCAGGAATGACTACTATGGGAGGATTTGTCAGGCAATGGTGATCCAGACTAAATCTCTATGGTTTAGCTAGACCATAAATAGAAAAAAAGAAAAGATATTCTGGAAATGGATCATTTAGGTTTTATTCACTATGTTATTGCCATATGAAGTTATCAGCAAGTACAAAGTAATAAAAAGTACAGAATTTTTTTTAAGCTTTTTATTTAAAAATATTGTTTGTGTTTCTCCTCAACAGGAAAATGTTGACACTGGAGTTTAAACTGATTGATCTTATTCTGAAATGTGGTGTTAGGGTAAGAAGAAGTCTTACCAAACATTCCACTGTTTTTGTAAATGGTGCTCTTACTTTCAACCTTGAGAACTTTTTGTTTCAGTGGAGAAGGAAATGCTAGGTTAGTGATAAAGAAGGTCATTTATTTCTTATATAATAGCACAATTAAATATAACAGTAGCTGGAATCATATTAATTATCTCAAGACAGAGAATAAAATAACTTGAATTATTAAATGTCTTGAGTTCTCATTGTATAATTTTTCAATTTTTTCTTGCAAATTAAAAACAGTAGTGAAATATCTACTAGTAAAGAAAGCAGTATCATTCAACATTTAGTAATCTGTAACAAAAACGCATTTGCTATTTCCATTTAAAAAATAAAATATTTACCTTAATATCTGGTTGTTTGTTTGAAAAGGCTGTCGGTCAGTCAAAAGAAGTGTAGAGAGATCAAAGAACAAAGATAAAGCCCATGGGTATAACAACCTATTGTTTCATCTTGTGGCATCTTTGTGCTTCAGATTGTGGAACATCTATAATACAAGTTAGTGGAGGTGGACCCCAGCATGGGCCTGAGCTATAGTCACCCTGGGATTCAGGCACGACCGGGTGGCTTATAAGGCCATCTTATCTGGGGTCCAATGCATGAGGGACTGAGGAGTTTCCTGTAAAGAACTCATCCTAAGGGGAGAGAAAGTGGAGTAGCACAAGGCAAGAGCTATCCTTGGGCAATGGAAATTCTTTCTTTACTCAGTCCTCACAGACTCACATCTAGGTGAGGGGAGGAGAGGGATGCAGTGCAGCAGTGAGTTAAAAAAAAAAAAAGAACAACTGTGGGACAGGACAGGGCACAAGACAATACTGATAGATTTGGTGGCCTTTAACTGGCAGTTTTAGCAGCGCTGGAAACATTGGCAGTGTTGAGAGGTGGCAACTGAAGTTTTAAAAAGGCATACATGACTTTGTGATAGACTTCTGTGAAGTTGGAAGCATTTATTCCCACAGGGCGTAGGAGACAGGGAAGAAGAAAAGCAAATGGCTTGCAAACATAAAAATATCCACCGGCAACTCCACAAACTTGTTGGGAGGAAACTGTAATGCGAGCTAAAGGTTCAACTAGAGCGTGGGGGTAAGCTGGGGAGAATGAACACAGAAATCTTGCTGTTGTGGCTTGGGAAAACCTGGGTCAAACTGAGTTCTATATATCATGCTTATTCTTACTAGATTTCCTACCCAATGGCGGAGAACATTAAGATAGGTGAACATTGCTGAAAGGGAACATACCAAGTTTTGACCCTGCATTTCTGTTCTAGCCATCAAGATGCAATGGGAATTTTGACTCTGTGGACATTTCTGGCAGAATTATACTGAAAATGATGAATTTCCACTAAAAGTCTTTTTCCCTCATCTAGACCCTCCCTGAAGTCAATTAAGTTAATTCCTTTAACAATTTTTTTCCTTCTTTTTTTTGGTGAGGAAAATTGGCCCTTAGCTAACATCTGTGCCAATCTTCCTCTATTTTTTGTATGTGGGATGCTGCCACAGCATGGCTTGATGAGCAGTGTGCAGGTCCACACCTGGGATCCGAACCCATGCACCCCGGGCCGCCGAAGCAGAGTGCGTGAACCCAAACACTACACCACCGGGCTGGCCCCCCCTGAAAAATTTTTTACACATCACGATTATGTTTTTTTCTTATGTTTTACTAAAGTTGCTTTATTTAGGATTCTTTTCTAAGTAAAATTCTGATTGTTTTTTCTTTTTCCTTTGTAAGTCCATATTAAATTTTACCAATTATATCTTCTGCCACTGGAGATGATCTTTTTAATTTTAACTAAATTTGGTTTTCTCATGTCAAATTTTATAGATCTAAAGAATATCCGATTCTCCTATCACTTTTAATAAATTTTTACCATGTGTACTTTTAGTCGTATTACTTTGTGTTAATTATTTAGTTAAATTATTTTAGTTAGTTAAAAGTTGCAAATAAGACTGATTGTTGGAAATTATTTCTTAGAGCTAAGATCATTGGTGGGATAGAGTGGAGTAATCAGAGTCTTGGTAGGGTCCAAGGGCTGAGGAAGTTTATCATGCTTATCTGAGGGAGAGTTCAGACATGCCATTAAGGTTGCTATATCTCATTTTGTCTCAAGTTCTAAAGCTGGGTTCATAGAAATCTATAGTAGTGTCATGAAGAAAATACTAGACAATGGAATAACTAATCAGCATATTATAGTGGGAAGAGCACTACATTTGGCACCAGAAGACAGTGGGCTTGTATTCTCTCTCTACCAGATATATTTCTAATGACCTTGAATGGTCATTTTACCTGAGAATCAATTTCCTTTGCTGTAAAATGGTACGTACCATCTGTCCTAGCGGCTAAAGGATTGTTGTGAGACTCCTATGGTAATAATATAGGTAAGACCATTTTGCCAACAACAAAGTTGAAGCTCAATGTAATCATAGTAATAATAATAATTGATCATAAATATGATGACACCTTTTTGATCAAACCCAATGTCTTTATTCTTTGTATCAACTTGAATTTTCCCTACTTAGAGTGACCTTACCTGACTACCTCTACTCTAAACTACATCATTCGACCTCCACCCCCATTTTAACGTTTATCACAATTTTTAGTTACTTGTTTTTGACATGATTTGTCTGTCTTCCTAAAATGCAAGGTTTATAAGGGATAAGCCAATGTTTTTCTTGTTCACCATCATATCCCCAACATCTACCCCAGTACCTGGCTCATAGGAAATACTCAATAAACATTTTTTGAATGATAATCTGCACGCACAAAGAAATGAATCTAGGAAAATACAGTTAAATGAGCCCTGTTTAGAAAAACTGATTTAAATCATTGAAAGTACTAAATGCATGTAATTTTGCTCGAAGAGGCATATACATGCACGCACAGAATCCACGTCTATCACATATGCATTATTTTTAGATAATTCTGGGTTTAAATGGGTTTATTGCTTTTTTCTCCCAGAGAGCAATGGGAAGTTCAGGGTGAAATCAGAAGAAACAAACAATTCCTACTACTGTGAAAATCACCATGCAGCCGACTCCGAAAGTCACAGATTTAGTGGGTTTTAGAGCTTTTTCCATGCCACTATTCTACAAAACAAGGAAGCTGAGTCTGTAAAGCACTGAAATGAGTTACTTGGTGTCATATGGATGGTAAGGCAGCACTGAATTACAGCCCTGGTTAAGGACAATGCCATCACTAAGCAGATTTATAGGTAACTGAACACGTATAGTTTTCTTCAATTCAAATAAAAGTCTTACATTTGCTGGAGGATTTATAATTATTTCTTCATTCGATAGCCCGATGCTATTTATAGTTGGTAATAACTTTTAAATAGACTTTTTATCAAAGTTCTTTATTTTGCTGGGTTTGTCTTTTCAATACTTAATAAATATAAGCCGCCACCAGCATCTGCAATGTGCGGCAAGGCTACTATTCATCATAAATTCCTCATTGTTACCTTCATTTGTTTTCTGTTGGAGGACATCGCATAAAAAGAAAATTTACTTTTTTGAAAGAAATGCTATTTTTCATTTGTGTGTAGATTTTTTTAAACTTAAAATTTGGCCCTTTCCCCTCTTGAAATGTGTAGGCCCTTTCTTCCTAAGGAACGGAAGTTCTATTGCCTCCTGATTGAAACACCTATTTTATAACATAATGCTGAAATTATTAAAAATGCATAAAACGTGCTCTTAAAACAATGAAATGCAATTTTCAGCACACTGGCTTTGTGAAGGAAATAAGTTATGTATATATAAATAATTTTAAGAATGTAGACTTTCCCCACCTTTAACAAAGAGGAACACAATAACACGAGCAAATTAAGGGAAAATGAAAGTTAGAAAGGCCAGATTATCTGGCCCGCAAATGGGAAATAGATCCCAACTCCAACTGGATTGTAGTGGCTGCTTTGAGTACTGTGTTGAGAGAGATTCTGAGGTTGAATCTGGGTACAGCAGTAAGGAGGACCACGTCATTTGGTGGGGAGGATGAAGCAGGAGCATAAGACTCTTACAGCTGCCATTCTGGATTTGGTTTACTATGCCCTGTGCCCCTTTTTATTCTTATTTTTGTAAGCAAATCAACTGAATACTGAGGCCCAGAGAAGAGAACTAATTTATCCCAGGCCATACAACGGGGTTGAAGCATAGCTAGGACAAGCATCCTATGCACCTGAATATTATTAGCTCAGTGATCTTACTACTATATAGTCAAGGCTCTCCTGATGTGACATGTGCCGTCCCAGTGTTGGAAAACAAAATTCGAAGGGTGATAACTCAGTATCATCAAACAGTTAGTAATGTAGTGTGGCTGATTAGAAACTGACAAGTTTTTGCACAGAAAGGTCAGTGAGATAATAGTTCCAAAAGGGCTCTGAGATGCTGGAAAGTGCATGCCATATTGTGAGTGTATCATTTGACATGGTTCAAGAGTAAATATATCTATACCATGGCTTAAAATATAACTTTTTAACAATTCTTTTATAATTGCAAATACCTACTTTTGGTTTATTTGTTTTCGCTGCTAAATGATAGTCAAATATAATTACTATATTGACAGGAGAGCAATCAGTTGGCTAAACAAAGGCACTGCACACAGTCCAATAATTTAGATTCTATGTCAAGAGTTATTTACAAGTCAGCACACAAGTAGAAAAATGATAAAAATTTGAATTTCACCTCTGTCCCTCTCTCTCTTTGTAGTATCTTGCAAAGATTAAAGAGTGGATAAAGAAGAGAATACATATGGTTATTACACTAAATATTAGTCTATTTAATTTCAGAAAGGTTCTGTTATTGATCATAAAATAGTATTTTAATGAGTTTTTGGTTGAAACTCATGTTCAAAGTAAAGAAATTAGGCTAAAACAAAACTCTGTTACTTTCAAAAAAAGAATGAAAATCCAATAGTTTATACTTCCATAATCAATAACTATGATAGCTCTAAACTATGGCCGAAAAAAGTAATTTTGTGAAAATTAAGTATTTTACAAAGCTCCACAAATGAGTGACACCTGAAAATCAGGAGCTGTGAGGACAATGGGAGAGTGTTTCCCACAAAAACTAAAAATTAGACAATGCAGTCTGCAAATTACAGACTCAAAGACTCTGTAATTATGTGTAATTACAGGCAAGAGAAGCACACTTTCGGGCACATTCAGATCATTTGATATATTTGCCATATAATGCATTATTAGAATAAAAATGAGAATGAAATTAATATGCTAATAAAATCCAAGTAGAATTAGTTAGACGCTGAGGTTCTAGACAGACCAGGAACTTGAAGAATGTATTTTTAGGATGTAGAATTATAAATGGTGTTAGAAATACAAAGTGGCATCAATAATAAAAGTATTGAGGCTACAGAAAATATTCTCCCCCCCTTATTTCTATGAATACATTTTCTATGTTAATGCAGGAAATAAAAAATAAAACAATCTTTTGTGTATCCAATTCAAGGTTTCTCATTTTGTAGAGACAATACTACTGGAGTTCTCTGGAATACCAATGGCATTTATAACCTAACTAATAAAAATTTTTTTAATTACTCAAGTATACTTCATTAGAAGTGAAATAGTTTATATAGTATTCCAGACATAGAGATTGATAAAGTAGATACTAATTCATTGCATAGATTTTAAGGTATGCAGTGTAAAGTTGGGGCCACATCAGGTGTTGGATGAGGCACAGGTGAGCACAGCCTATTTCAAGGGGACTTTATAAATGTCCTCGTGCACAGGAGAGGGGTGTGGAGGCTAAATTCTGGGAGCAGAAAGGACCCGGTTAGGACATTTAAACACACAGGTAAAAATCACAGTGGTTTAGGAGAAACAGAAAGGATAAAAAGAGGGAGGGTGGCGTGGAGAAGAGAAGGCATTCTAGGAACCTCTAAGTTCAAATGCTTCAAAGCACCCTGGGACTCTGTCCCTCAGTGCACCAGAGGCCTGGGCACACTACGAACCCCTGCCTCACCAAATGCTTCTAACGCTGGTAGCTGGAACATTCCTCAGGAGCAAGTTAATTTTTAAAAAGTTAATGGAAAAGTGTTAATTTGGTTGCTTGAAATGTTCTTTATTTATTAGGTACATTCTCGCAATGGGAAAAATAGCGTCTTGCACTTTCAATAACAGGAAAACTAGAATAAAGAAAATAATTGCCATTACCCATCTCTCCCCTAAAAATATTCATAAAGACCCATTCTTCAGTTCAGCAAAAATTTATCATAAGCATCAACAAACATGGCAGGTTTTTTTTTGGAACCCCTATACTAGAAATTTTCCAACTAGTATGTATGTGGAAAGCTTGTTAAAAGTGCAGATTCCTGGGGTCTATTTCCAAAAATTCAGATTCAGAAGTCCTGGGTAGGCCTCAAGAATTTGCTTCTCAAACAGATGCTCCAAATGATTCTCACACAGGTGATCTGGGGATCACACTTTGAGAAACACTGCCCCAAAGTAAATTCTTCTTTTCCACTTTAGTTTAAGTCACAGCAAATTGTATTTAACAGGCTTCCTAATGTTAGTTCTGAAAAGCAAGTAGACTACCACACGATTCAGCCAGAGAAAAACGATCCAAGCATAGTGGGGAAACTAGCCTTCAAATACACGTTGAGGAAGATTCACAGAATGGAATCTAAATTATCTACCCAGAGAAGCCTTCTATCCTGTCCACACCGCATGCACTACCCAATTTGGACCGAGTTCCCTTTAGGTTCATCCTTGGTCTTAGGAAGCCCACATCAATATTTTCCAGATTTTTACCTCTTTTGGTGATAGGATAGAAATGTAATCGTCATATATCATTCTGGCCTTTTCTTCAATTACTTTTTTGTTCTGTTCTTTCTTTAAGTCTTCACAGGCAAGCCAGAAAAGTAGGTTCTCTTCACTGTATTCTGTGCGGAGGAACTCTCTGAAAAGGTTCCTTCCTGCTGGGGCCTTCATCATCTTGTCAAAATTTTGAGACCAGGACAAGACTTCATCTGTAGTGGGGTGTTGGCTGCAGAGACAGAACGGGGTTACTATCAAGGGCGACTTTGACCTCTGAACACTAGCCCAGGTAGAGAGAGGAGCAGATAGAAATGCTATTCAATTGCTGCCATCTAGTGGTCATTGTCACTCAGTCTGGCTACTATCTGCTGAGAGTAGGTTAATTATTTCTGGGTCTTGACAAAAATTCGTGTAGGCACAAGCTGCGTGTTAGGGAGCCAGGAGTTCAAATAACAAGAGGCTATACACGCTACGCACATGCTCATCATAAATTCCAAATGACGGTTGGAAATGTTCAAACCTTAACAATATATCGCCAGTTGATAGAAATAGTCCATACATTATTTTGAAGGGCAAAATGAACTTTTTTGTTTGCATCTTATGTAGATTTTAATTTTCAAGCCATAAGATACAGTTTCTCTTTTAATCTCTGGTAGCTATTTTTTCATTTGTCACTGGATCTAAAATAAGAATACAATATGTGCATTTGTCACATATTTTCCTAAACTTTTACTAATTATTCTATTGAATATTATGAATGGTTACCCATGATGGAGTTATCACAGTTAAAAAGCACAGGGCCTTTATAATGACACTGCGGACATTTTAGATACTATATTCAGGTTTTCAGTGACTACTTTTCTGCAGAAACCATCAGTTATTACTCCCTTTGCTTATACATCAAAGAAGAGGAAGAGAGAAGCTTGGAGATTCTTATGGTTAAATTGATCCTGATCTTGCTTTCCCATTCATTGGTCTATTTAATAATTTTCCCACCAAAAATACATTTGGTCAAAGAAGTACTTAATATTTTACTTTTTCTTACCTTTTTGACCAAATATTTTAAATAGATTTGTCACTATTCTGAAATGTCTGAACTTCCCTACTCATTTAAAAAATGTTAAAAGGCAGAAAAATTACTATGAAGCATCAACATCAAAACCTCATAAGAGGCAGAAGAAGAAAGCACCTATAAGTATACAAATAACCTACTTGTATTTTAATTTTATTCTGTAGATACTGCATTTCAACTTCTCATTTCGGAGGAAATACTTGGTTAGAGTCTGTTCTGATGGAAATGGGACCAGGGACTAACTGGGTGCCCTTTCTGACTGATGTAGGTAATTCTATAATTTTTTGTGTTTTAGACTCTTCTGCTATAAAGAGAGCAACTTAAAAAAATATTCTTAGAAAAGGGAAGTAAAGACTTAGGGCAATTTGAGGGGCTATTCATGTAACAATCAGTATTTTTTGAAAGAGAAAGATAAACTCAGGCAATGTTTTAGCTGATAGCTTAATATAGCTAATAGAAAAATTGATGAAAAGCAATTTCAATCACAAAATAAGATCTCCCAGATTGAGGATGCATTCATTTCACAAAACCATTTTTAGGAGTACCAGGAAGCATGAGACAATACTTAAGCACTGAGTAGATGTAAACACTATATAAATACAGGACACAATTATAATGCGAATCACACTCACCATTCCTCTAGGACCTGGATACTCTCCATTTTTGTGGTATGTGTGGGTCTTCCTGCATTTTCCCCTCTTTCTTCGTTCCTAACAGTGAGGCTGTAATATAGTATACTACTTTATTTTGTCCAGGGAAAACCAATTGTTTAAAGAAAAGAAAAAAATTGCAGGAAAATATTTCACAGAAGAATTCTATTTTCCACCATGTGAGAATATTTAAAGTAAAAAAAGAGCAATACCATTTTTAAATGATGGGTAAGCCCGTGTCAACTAAAGGAAAGAGAATCATTATTTAATAAAATAATACAGTAAATCACAATCTCAAAAACAGATAGTAGCATACATTCTGACTTCATCCTCACATAATTTGAATCACTTAAAATCTCTGAGATACTTACATGATTATATGCTTTAATATTTGACATATATCATTATGTTACTCTTTGGTGTAACATCATTTTGACTTTTGGTTAGTTCTATTCATAGTTTGTTTTCCATTTATTTTCCCCCACTGATAGCTAAAAAGATCAAATGTGTCAGAATCTAAAACAGAATTTGCTAAATCACATCATCTTTCTATGCAGACCAGGTTTTCTGTCACCAATACCATCATTCTTCCATTCACTCAAGTTCGAACTAATGGATTTATATTTGACTTTGTCTTTGCCCTTTATCCCATTTAGTCAATCTCCAATGTCTCCAGAGGAACACCCAGTCACTCTGAGGGTTTGGATAGGAGATCCTTGGGTGAGAGGAGTCTCTGTGTCTCTAGGACATAAATTTGGGACTTCTACAGGATTACAGGAGCTGGGATAATCCCATGGGCTTTAGTGACCCAGAACAAAAGAATGAGAATTGTCCGATTCAGGTAAACAGTATCTGATCAGCGCCTTAGGGTGGAACATCCGAGGTTTTAGGTGTAGACGAGACGTAATGGGGGAGATTATGGGCAGATACTAAGAAGCAGGGTGAGGAGGATGACTCGATGGAAATGGAAACTACTATTTTCTCGTGCCTATTAGGTGCAGGGCACTGTCATTTCACCTATAATTTTATTATCCCCATTTTATAGATGAGCAAAGTGAGGCACAGAGCTGTCTGGCAGACTGGCACAAAGTCTGACACTAAATATGTGGTATGGGTAGAACTGGAAACCAATTCTGTGGAACAACCCTGTAATTTTTATTGAGTGTAATTTTTACTGAGAAAGGAGAAGGCTTCCAACAAGTAGTTATCCTTAATCTGGAAAGTTTGGTAAAGGAAGCTGAGACAATGTCTCATTAATTCATTCTTTCACTCTCAGGAGCAAGGGTGAGGGTGGAGAGGATGTGGCAAAGGGAAGAATTTAAGGAAGACGGGCCAATCTACAGCTGAAAGTGAGACTAGATAGGAAAACTTAGTTTGGAGAAAAGAGAACCCAATAGAAACTGGGAAAGATTCTTTAGTCACAAAAAGTACACTTGAATGAAAAATATAAGATTTAATAGCGAAATAAAGTAAGTTCTCTTCTACCAATTTCTAGGGAGAGTGGCAGATTTATTGGTGTAGAACTATGGAGAGAAAAGAGTAAACCTCTTGCAAAAGTGGTGTGGCCCAAAGAATTCTGGGAAGCAGAAACTACGGCTGATTGTTACTCAAACATCCAGCAAACTGATTGCTCTACAGGGAGGCAGCAATTTCAGAGTTAGAGCCCTCAATGCCTTCAATGTAGGGTAGCCCAGGGAAAACAGTGAGGGGGGATTCAGAGAAAACAGCACAATTGTTTAGGTCTCTGCTTCTGGGTACTGTGAATGTGTCTGCAGTGTGAGGAATCCTAGGAAACCTCAGTTCTCCGTCTCGCTACCCACTTAGGTCAGGTATGTGTTTGGAAGGAGATTCATTAACTTCTCAAAGTGTCTTTGAGCAGGAGTGCTACCCTGGAATTTGATGTACTTCCAGTAATTATGGGAAAGTGGGTGGGAGGAGGGAGGAATATACCATTGACAATATTCTGTGAAATTTCCTGGGAGAAATTAATGATGCCAAATGTATAAAATATGCAAGAAAGATCATGTTTAAATAGGAAATTGCCGAGCTTTACTGAGCTTATATGTGTGTGCACACACATAGTAAGGAACTATAAAAAGACTAGAAAAAGAGCTCCCTCTCACTGATTAAATAATAAACTTCTTGAGAATTTGTTACATTTCCACACAGTGTCCCTCAGAGTATGCCACACAAATGCAGGTATACTTTATTTATGCAACATCTTTGAAAAATTTTATTCTCCATTGTGCTTTGCTGTAGAGCAACAAATCTGGAATCCAGACGCATGATTCACAAGTTTCTGAACACGAATTCTGGCTCCTATATCTGTTTCTGTGATATTTACAAACATCCCAAATGCCACCATATTAGAGCGATCATTATGAAATATTGGGTGTGTTTTTATCTTTCATTTCTACAGATGGTAAAATATGGACACACATTTGTTCTAAAACTATTTATAATAGACATTCAATAAATGCTTAACCGTTCACACTTTGCTCCATTTCTTGATCTCTTATTCGACACAACACGGCCCTGTTGAAAGAAATTGACCTTTAGCAATTGACGTGTCCTTTTAATCAACTATCCTTTAGTACCGTTCTTAAAAAACTGGTTTTAAAGTTTCCATGATCAAAGTTCACTGATGCCATTTTAAGATGACAAGAAATGGAGAAAATAATAGGAGAGTTGGTCCTGGACTGTTTGTCTTAAGACATTCTTAAGACATGTGTGTCTTAGGAATGACTAATGTCTGTCTCCAATTTCACTTGGTCCTACTCAAGTAATATAGTGTTTTTTGTTTTGTTTCGTTTTTGGTGAGGAAGATTGGCTCTGAGCTAACACCTGTTGCCAATCTTCCTCTTTTTGCTTGAGGAACAGTGGCCCTGAGGTAACATCTGTGCCCATCTTCCTCTATTTTTGGCATGTGGGATGCCGCCACAGCATGGCTTGATGAATGATGTAGGTCCACACCCGGCATCTAAATCTGTGAACTTGGGCCGCCAAAGCAGTGTGCCGAACTTAACCACTACGCCACTGGGCTGGCCCCCCTGGTGGGTTTTTTTTTTAAGGTAATAAAGTACCTTAAATATTTGCTCTAGATTCACATATACATATCATATGTGCTTGAGAAAAGCTCTAAAAGGAAAACACCAAACTTAACAGTAGTGAGAGGTCACGTGGAGACATGATTTTTTTCACTTACAATGTTTATAACATTTTTAACTAGCATCTCTACTTTTTAAATAACTAAAGCCATAAAGAGAACAGAGTGCATAGACAATGTTCACTGTGGGAATCTTGATCAAAGCTTAAATATTCTATGGAAGAAAATGCCAATAACCTAGGCTAAGTATACTAAAATTAGCATTTAAAATTCCACCAGAAATTTTCTAGAATGGTAATTTTGAGAAGGGAGAAATACATTTGGGACATTTCAGAAAATAAATATGCCCTCTTTGTGTGTGGGTGGATTTTTGTTTGTTTATTTACAGGGGGGTTTGGATAGTGAGGTGGGGAAGACGTTACCTGCTGCCCATTATAGGGTTTACCTACTGATTTGTCATCACGGATATGTGTGTGTTTGGGGCCTATTTTGGAAGACAGTCTACTCTTGTAAGAAAAACAGTTGGTTCTTAGAGAGAACCCTTGAAATGATTGCGAATAAGACGAAAACTTTGCAGCAGCCATGGTAACTCTGGTAGAGAGGCCAATCACAAAACCGCATATATTTACACAAAAACTCGACTAAGGAATCAATAAGATGTTTAAATTTAATACAGTAGGACATCAGGCTCAAGAAAGAACCATTGTCATTGGTAAAGGCAGGTATTTTTTCAATATTTTAATAACCTTACATCGTGAAATCACTTTTATCCTTTTTATTTAACAGCTTCTACCTCAAAATTCCCCAGTGCAAAAATGGAACTAACATCCTTCAGCTTCTGAGAAAGAATTGGTAGGTTATTCTCTAAATGTTTCATTTCGCTCAGTCAAAATATCATGGTAAAGTAATACTACAGCTTTATTTAGGAGTCAATAACAATTTGCAAATACACGTGAGACACCTGGTTTATGCAACGTTGCCTGGGTTGGAAATTCAAGATGAATAAGACAGAAGCTCTGAAATCGAGGCACTCTGACAGGTAAATAAGCATCACACAGCATTGCAATGAGAGCCAAAATAGAGAAATTCACGTGGTGTTTCTTAGACACAGGTACAGCATCCATACTTTTGCACGAGAAAAGTTTTACAGAGGAGGTAATGATTAAACCGGGCGGAACAATGAGCAGGTGTTTGCCAGATGGAGACCTGGACAAGGAGAATGCCAAGCAGAAGGAGACAAAATCATGTGTAGACGTTGGGAGTTGTAAAAAGTCATGATATAAATGTAGAACAAAATGGACAGATCAGATGTTTCAGGGTGGGAACAATAAATTAGACTATACAGTGATGTGTGATTATGTAATGGGCCAAGAAAACAGTGAGATGGACTCTGAATCTAGAATATACCTCCTTTAAGATGATTTTGGCTTTCCATGATTTATTTTCCCCCTTCATAATGTGATTATGGTAGTGACCTACTACACAAGGTTGTAAAGCAAAGACTAAAAACTTGTGACAAAAAGGCAAATTATTATACATGCTTAATTAAATGTAAGGGCAAATTGGTCGCATATTAAAATGACGGTTCCAAGTTTACCAAAGAGCTTTTCATTCCAACCTGAGGCAATAAAGACTTACACTTAGCCATTATTATAAAACACTTCCTCACATGTTACCTGACTACTTCTTCCTCACAACAGTCCTGTAAGGTAAGCAGGGCATTTGTCATTAATCATTCCCACTTTATTTAAGACGAAACAGTCATGGAGGTTGACTTATACCAGACCCACAACTAACACATATCAGGGTTAGTCCTGGAACTCATGTCTTCTGACTTCGTGTCTCATGCTCATTTTCACTATGCAATGCTGCTTCTCTTTATATAAATTAATTTAACAATTAATTCTGGTATTTTACCTTTTCAGTTATTTACAAAAATTGATTGCTCTTAAATGTTTGGCAACAG